GGGAAAGAGGTGAAGGAGGAAATGAAGATGCTATGGGAGAAAATGGGATTGGAGGAGGTTGGGATTAAAGAAGTAACCAAATAGGGTAAAGAAGTACCAAATAGAGTAGGATGAGAGGGGGGAGGGGAATGGTACTGGTGAAAATGACAGGGAAGGAAGAAAAAAGAAAAGTGATAGAGGCAAAGAAAAAACTGAAAGGCAGGAAGGAAAGAATAGATGACGAGCTCACGGAGGAGGAAAGGAAGGTGAGATGGAAAATAGAAAGAGAGGCGGAGAGGGAAAGGGAAAAAGGAAAAAATGTACAGGTAAGATACATGAAGATATGGATAAATGGGAAGATGAAAAGATGGGATGAAATAGGAGGGAGATGGTTTGAGGAGCAGGGAAACGAGTGAAGGAGGAAAGGGGGAGGGGAGAGGAGGTAAGAAAGAGGGAAAATGCAGAAAGGAAAAGTCTATGTAAAATCACTTTCTGGAATGTAGCGGGGTTAAAAAATAAGGACAGTGAATTTTGGAAAGCCTTGGAGGAATGGGATGTGTTCGTAATGAGTGAAACGTGGGTTGAGAAGAAGGAGTGGGGATGGGTTAGTTCAAGGCTACCAAAAGGATATATATGGGAGGTGCAATGGGCCAGGAGGGAACATAAAAAAGGACGGGCGATAGGGGGGATGATAATGGGCGTGAGAGAAGAATTAGAAGCAGAAGAGGGTGATGAAGAGAAAAGGGAAGGGGTAATAATGAAAAAAGTAAAGGTCGGGGGAACACAGTGGTGGAGGATAATTGGAGTCTATGTAAACAAGGACATAGATAGGAAATTGGAGGAACTGAAGGAGTGGATAGAAGATAGAGAAAGAGGAGTAAGAGTGATTGTAGGGGGCACTTCAATGCGGGGACAGGAAGGGAAGGAGGGGAAATATGGGAGGATAAGGATGAGGGGGGAGAAAGGGGAGTAGGAAGTAGGAAATCGAAAGATAGTAAAGTTAATGCAGAAGGAAAGAAACTGTGCAGATATTTAGAGGAACAGGGGTGGGGAATACTAAATGGGAATATGAAGGGCGACGAGGAAGGAGAGTGGACGTATACGGGTGGGAAAGGAAACTCGGTGATAGACTATATTATAGGGAATGAAGAAACAAGAGAGAAGGTGGAGAAAATGAAAGTGGAGGAAAGAGTAGAATCAGACCACCATCCGATAACGGTATGGGTGAGTG